CCATGGAAGTCAATCCTCATGTGGTCTTGGTTTGGTTTGGTTAATTTTTGTGTGTGTTCACTTGAATCTGGGCCCCAGGAGCGTCCACACACTGCAGCTGGCTGAGGTCCACCCTAGGGACCTGAGCCTGGGGGCTCCCCTCCCCTGCTCTCTACTGGGGAGACCAGGCATCCCAGCTGTCCAGTCTGGGCTTCGCTGCCTGCTCCCCTGGGTGTCACTGAACCTGTTCTCCACCTGGAAGCTTGGCCAGGGCCCTGGCACCTCGGTGCCTACCTCACACCTCTCAGTGCACCTGTGAACCGAGCAGCGGCTCCTCACGAGATGCCCTGGGGCCGCCTGGCAGTGCCTCCCACCAGCACCCCCTCTGAGGCTCTCACGTCCCACCCCGCGGTTCCTCTGGCCACGCTGACCCTTCACACCACAGGCCTGGAAGCAAGAGGGAGCTGGTGCCTGTGGGGCCACTCTCCTCTCTGAATCTTGGGTGGACACTTCTGAGGACATCCTCCAAGGCTCCACACAGGTCTCCAATGGGACGGAGCCTCAGCTGCCCCGGGGGGGACCCCTCGGATAGCGTCCTCTTGGGTGGGCTCTTCCCCTTTCCTTGTTTCCCCTCCCTGCCCCCGACTCCTCCTCCTCAGGACCATTTCTCAAGATAAACCCATTCTCTTCAGGTGTAGTTCTTGCAGGAAAAGCAGGGAAAGCCTCGATTCTTCCTTGACTCACCAGTTTTCAAAAGGATGTCAGTTCCCCAAAGGTAGACAGGGAGGCTCCTGTCTTTAGAGAGTCGTTACGAGTTCGTGGATTTGAATGACTGATGCGCTTCGTCCCACTGTAGCCACTGCTCTCAGTGATGCTCAAGCTGCCCCACCCTGGCCGGCAGGACCCAACTTAAGTTGATTTAAAAAAACGAATCTGGACTTTCAGTAAAGCTGTTGACTTAATAAACATGGTGTGTGTATATTACGGGTTTACAGCAATACTTCTAATTCAAATTCAGGACTATGGGGTTTTTATTAACTTCACTGATCTTAAGTCTATCTATATTCTTTTCCCAAACCTAAAAATTTCAGTTCTCAACACTACTTGGGTTATTTGGGACTTGGGACATTTTCTTTTAGTATTTAGCTATTAAAATTTTTACTGAATAAATTGCCTTTGAGTAGATCTTTGGAACTTTTGCCAGTGTGTGTTCAGGATATATCCCTACAAGGAGGATTGCTGGGTCGAAGGGTAAATGCTGAAGGAATCTTGTCAGGTACTGGTGAACCCCCTCCTAGGGGCTGCAGTGCTCAGCAGCCCTGCTGACAACACGTGACAGTGGGAGACGTGGCCCCACCACACACAGCAGGGTGAGCCGTCAGACCTTTGGGCTTGTCAACTTCGTGTGTAAGAAGGGGTCTCTCTGAATTTTTACTTCAATTTCTTCTGCTGTAAGTGAAATGAGGGGTCTGTTTCTATCACTCAGGTGTTCTGCTTTGGCTAAGGCTGTGTGAAGGCAACACAGGGCACTGTGGACGTGAACTGGAAGTGAAAACTCACATCTGATCGCTTACAGGTACAGTGGTTCTAGACCGTAGCCCCCAGTCACATGGCAGAAGCAAATACTAATTTTTTCAGGAAGAACCAAGATGTGTCAGAGAAATTCCAGAGGTAAAGTTCCAAGAAATATAAACTCATAGCCCCAGATCACAAACTTCACCAGGAGACAAGGCACTCTGAGTGAGTCAGCAGGAAAAGGACAGAAGAATCAGACGCACAGTCTTTGGATCCTGATATTACCAATCAGAGAATATGTAGTATGTTTAATATGTTTAAAAAATAAAAAGATGAGTTGAAAATGTGATTTTAAAAAGCTATAAAAATCCAGCAAATTACAAAAATGACATAGAACTTAAAGAACTGAAAATCACTGATACTGAAATTAAAAACTGAATGAGTTTAACAGCACCTTTGATACGGCTAATAAAAGAATTAGTGATCTGAAAAGTGGGTCTGGGGAAATCACCAGAATGAAGCAAAGACAGACAAGGAACGGAAGACACGAAAGGGCTAGTGAGAAACACAAAGGACAGAGCGAGAGGCTAACACCCCCACAGCTGGGTTTTTAGAAGGAGGAGGGGCATAGTGGGGGAGAGGCAATGTTTGAAGAGATAAAACCACAGGTTCAAGTGGTGGGGTGGACACCTTCACCTGGCTCATCTCAGTGGGACCATCAAGACAAAGTGGAGACAAGGGACCTTCTGAAAGACAGACCTCAGACTGACAACCAGGTTCTCGGCAGCAACAACAAAGCCAGAAGGTAGTGGAACAGAGCGTTCAGCACGCTCAGAAAAGCTACCAACCCAAACTGCATTCCCAGCAAAATGTCTTTCAAGAACAAGAGCACAGAGGGGAGGGTACAGCTCAGTGGTACAGTGAGTGCTTAGCATGCACGAAGTCCTGGGTTCAATCCCCAGTGCCTCTGTTTAAAATCAACTTTTTTAAAAATTGTAAATCAACTATACTTCAATTTAAAAAGTTTCAATTAAAAAAAAAAGAACAGAGCATAGAAGCTTTTTCAGGAAAACAGAATTGAAAACACGTGTGGCCCTCTCCCTTCTGAGCCCTCTCCCTTCTGAGACGCCTGCATCGACTGCAGAAGGTGTCTGCTTTTCCTTTAACCTGAGCACCCGACCCCGCACCTCGTGGCCATTCCCTGGCCTTCTCAGACAGCCTGCTGCCTACGGAATGTGTATCTCTGAATAAATCTACCTTTACTCAAAAAGAAAAAAAGAAAAGCATTTGTAACTACTGACTCTTGCCACAGGACTTTCCACAATGCTGGTCTGGCAGGAGAGGGTCCCGTGCAGGGCCTCCGAGAGGCAGGAGCAGAGACCCAGCAGAGGAAGCGCTGCCTCAGGGTGGGCCGCGGCAGGGACGTCGCAGGGGCACAGACTAGGCGGCAGTGTGCGGCCCTACCCTTCTCCAGACACGGCAGGTGGAGGTTCAGTGTCCACAGCTCGTCCTCCGTTTGTGGGGAGGGGATAGATCCTGATTAATCTTAGATCCGAACACGTTCAGTGTTTATGAAAAGTTCGGGGGTAACTGCTCAAATGATGCCTCGCAGACGCCTAAATTCCAAGTAGCAGAATGAGAAAAGCTCACTCCACCCAGAAGAAAAGCAGGAATGCAGACCCCCAGGCCCAAGCGTGGCTCCTGAATGACCAGCACCTCATACCCCTGCCAGAGAAGAGGGCGCCTGGCCACAGCGTGGGGGAACTGGAGGGCACCGCGCCGAGTGAGGTCAGGCAGGGAAAGTGCTGTACCGCGTCACTCACACGTGGGCCTTGGACGAAACTAACTAGTGATGTGACAGAGGAGAAACAGACTCAGGTACGAGAACAAACTGGCAGTGCCCGGGGTGAGGGGTCGAGAGCTACAAGCCACTGTGTACAAGGGCATGTCTCTCAGCACAGGGGACACAGCCCACGTGTCGCCGTACCTACAAGTGGAGAACAACTTATAAAACTCTCAAGTCACTATGTTTGTGTGTCTGAAACTAATATAATGTAAATCAACTATACATCAGTTAAAAAAAAAAAGAACAGGGTAATCCCAGCAGCTTCTCATCTCCCAGTGCATTTCATGTAAACCGAGGGATGACAGTCACGTTCCCACCGCCACCACTACCACCTCAGTGACCTTAAACACTCGGCATCTGACGCAGTGACTTTCCTGCACCTGCCAGCGAGCGGCCCGTTTTCTTGTGCTTCCAACTCTGTGTCTCCCTGGAAACGGACCTGGAAACCACCCCCAGATTTTCAGATTTTGCAGCAGAGATACAAGTAGCCCCTCAGAATAAATTATGCTATTGTTTCGGTTTTCTCCCCACCAGTAACTTTCATCAGACTAAAGTTTTATAGTCCCTGTTTTTCAGAAGAAAAAGCAAAGCTGGGCCAGGTTAAACAAGGAGCTTTGTCAGCAGGGTGCAGCTGAGATGGGGACCCAGGACCAACCGTCCCCAGGCCAGGAACCGCCATCCCATGTGGCGGCTGACGGTACATTTGCTGTTAGTATTTCTCCCTATGTTGTGTTTTTCAAGAACCAAAGATAGGACCCTTAGCAGCCCTGCCATCATCCCTCAGCCAAGGCTGGTCATTGCTCCCCCAAGAAAAGTCTACATTTGGCCCCTCTGCATCAAGATACTAGGCCTCATCAGACTTAAGGTTTTAAATGTTTTCCTTGGGCACCTCAGGGTTTTTGGTGCATGAGGTGGATGGTGTGAGGTCACTGTCCCTCTGCCCTAGGCTGGGGAGAGCAGAGGGTGGGCTCAGGAGGAGCTGGGGCATAGCCTCTGTGCCCTGAGTCCCAGATTACCACCCGCTGCCTCCAGCCCAGAGCCCAGAACAAGAGTAGGATGGCGGGTGTGGGGGCAGGGAGCGCCCATCCTCCCGCGGCCAGCTAAGCCAGGGCCCTCAGCCTGGTACAGCCCCTGGAAGAAGTACAGTCCCAGGCACACGCCCAGTGGGCACAGGCTCCCAGAGGGAGAGCCCGCTGGTGGGTCTCCACTCTAACAGGCCTGGCCCTGAGAGCACTGATTTTATCAGTACACCTGATCCAGCTGCTTCTCTGTGCAGGTCTGCCTCTATCTGCACCCGCCCCACCACTGCCCTGCCTTTCCCAGCCCTGGCTCCACTGGTGAGCACTCCATTTAGCCAGATACAAAAGGAGGAGAGGACTGCACAACCGGGCCCCTCCCCCAGCCTCTCTCCCAGCGGGCACTCCGCCCCCGGCACCTACAGCCCCTGCCGAGGCCTGGGGGAGTCTCCCTGGTCTCACCATCTCAGTCAGGTCTGCTCAGTGTGGGTGACAGGATGGTCCGGGCCTCATCACCCCCGCACTCAGGCCCTAAAACGTCATCAGTTTTTCCGGGAAGTGAGTGCTGAAAACAAAGTGCTCACCAGTTAACTGCTGCTCACATGCCCACCGTTAACCAGCACAGAATGACAACATGAGACCGGTCGTGAAAAATATTCTCTCCACGTGTTTACAGAGGTCGCCCTTGGCTGTGGGGCCGGGGGTGGGCCCTGTGAGGAGCAGGGCTGCCCTCCCCACTCCAGCTGCCACGTGGGTCGGGCCCCTCCTGGAATCCGTGGGCCCCTCTCGGCTCCCAACACAGCTCCCCGCGTCATTCGGTGGTTCACCGAGGGACCAAGACTCCGAGGACAGCAGGGCCAGGGTCCTGGGGTGGCCACAGCAAGGCACGAGGAAAAGCCTACGGTGACACCACATTCTGCGGAGGGCCCGTCTCCCGCCGAGGATCTGCTCGACTTCGTGGCTCTTCCTCTCGGTCTCAGCGTCACTGGTGCTCATTTCTTTTCTTGGTGCTTTTAAATCCTCGTGATGCGCCTTGGCCGAAGCAGACGGCAGAAGGAATTCTGAAACGCAGGGAAAAATCATTTGTGCTGAACCACATCTCTCGCCAGCAAACAACCCAACCCACGGCGCTGTCTGGCGCCTGGAACCTCCTTCTTCCCGGAATGTTCAGGCTGTGGGCGGCCCTTCACCCACGGCTCCCCGGGCCCAGCCAGCCAGCCTGCTCCAGACCGGCTTCCCGGAGGGCGCGGGGGTGTTCTCCAGCCGCCAGGCACGAGAGGCTCCCCGCCTCCCGCCCCCGGGCCCAGCCTTCCTGTTGCCCTCGGTCCATCCGGGCGAAACCCAACCCACCCGCTGGAACCTGGGGCTCACGCTCATGCCAGAGTCTGGGCCACTGCTCGAGGGCAGCTGAGGGACGCAGGTCACCTTCCTGTCGGTTTGGGTTTGCTGGTGATCTTTTCCATTTCTCCAGTGTTTCCCCCCAAATTAGATTTGAAACCAACTTCAACTCAGGAATAGCACATTTAGCACTAGAAAGACAGACTCGTAGGCTGTAACCCGAGCAGTCACACCTGGTTCTCCACCCCAGCTCAGGCTGGGCAGGTGCACTCCAGGCTGAACAGCAGGAGAAGCAGGTCATTCGAGGGGAGTGGGTAGAGTCGGGCTCTCACCTCCTGCCGAAGCCAACACTCCAACCCCGTGGCAGCTCCTCTTGGGGAGGATGCCGGCCCAACATCAAACCTGGAATTTTCCAGGGAACGCACAGGCTCAGAGCCGGCTTCAGAAGGACGCCCGGGACTGACCTGTGGCCGTAGGTCCGCCTCTCTCCGGAAGATTCTGGGGGCAGCTCTGTGTGTCCAAAGCAGACTTCCATGGCGTCTCCTTCTGATGGCACCTGGTCATCCCCCAGGGCTTCTGCGGACACCTGCACGGCGGGCCCGGGCGTGGCTGGGCTGGGGAAGACAAGAAGGAGCGAGCTCCTATAGCCCCCGGGCTTCCCCCAGGAGTGAACTCACAAAGCTGTTTTATAACTATTTTGTCAAAAGTAACTTCCTGGCTACCGGAACTAGGAGAAATGTCTGTGTGATATAAGACACGATTTATGGATTTAGGCGTAATGATCGTACTTTACTTTTCAAAACCAGTATTTATATGGTGTCACGTGGTAAATGATTACTAAGAATACTAGACATCTCTCTGTAACAATTAGTGAGAAAGTTACTAAACTCAGCCATAAGATACTGAGTGTCTTTCCCATAATGCTATGTCTCAATCCAACGTTGTAGGGTTTTCTCCCTTAAAACGAGTCCTTGAAAAGAAAAGAATTACCTTACCCCCAGGGGCTTTGGAAAAATCTCTCACATTGTAGTGGATTCTCCTGATTATTTCACTTTAAACAGCGAAGTCTTGTCTGGGGACAATTTAGTCTAAAAAGACTTCAACCAACACAATTTTTAGGTGATTGTGAAGTTTCAGCTGAACACATCAGTTAATGAAGAGGCAAACAAATATAACACAAACTTAAAAATTATACCCAGAGGAACCTCCCCATAGGACATTTTGAGAAGTAGCATGTAGCACTCGGCTTTGTCAAGTTCATCTACCTACAGGACAAATGAAAAACCAGAGGGCCCCACATGAGCAGAGGGACTCACAGCCCAGGACAGGTTCCCAAAGGCCCTGATCAGCGATGGAGGGGAGGCGACGGGCTGGGTGGAGGTGCAGGCACAGCTGCGAAGCTTGAGTGTGCAGGGGGTGGGGCTCTTTCTGCAGGCCCTGCAGACCCCGCCACGGTACCCCAGTCATTCCCAGCACAGACCAGGGAAGCCAGGTTCTCCCCTCCTGTCCTCCTGCAGCAGGGGTCCCACACGTGAAACCAGCCCTATCTGTTTAATTCCTCTGGGTTAATAACTCCCGACCTATCCGGGTTTCCGTTACTGGCAGCTAAGCAGGACGTTAAGTGACAGGGGTACCCTTAAAGTCTCCGTATCAAAGGAGTTCTACGCTTGGGAAGTGGCTTCATACCCTTTGCTCTTCCTTGGTTTATCGAAGCGGAAGTCCGCAGGGTAGAGGTGACGTGTCACCAGGTGCTCCTTCCTGTCTCTGCTGGTCCTAAACTTCTCTGTGCAGCCCTCCACCAAGCACTGGTACTGAAACAGAAACAGTGTCACTGCACGCTGACCCCTGGGCAGCCCCCCGGCTCTGGCACCACAAGGCACGCAATGGGGGAACAAACCCTCATGATGTGCCCTCGGCCCTTGGGTGAGACGGTCACCCACCATGTCCTGCCGCTCAGCCAGGATCTGGAACAGGGAGTCGTGCCACTCCAGGATGTGGGTGTCCAGCAGGTGTCCCGAGGGAAAGGCCCGCTTGCAGAAGGAGCAGACGTTTCTGTGCAGAGTGTGGTAGTGGTGCTCGTAGTCCTCCAGGGCGTCAAACACCTGGCAGCACCCGGCTACCTGACAGGTGAACTCGGGCACCCTGGCAGAGGAAGTGGCCTGGTGGGGATGCCATTCCACGGAGGACAGAACTCCCTGTTACCACACCCCTTTAAGTGGTCTGATAAAGCTCCGGATTTTCTTTTGCAATCCCAACTCCCATTTTTCTAACAGTTGTATTTTCACAGACCAGGCAGGCAGTGAGGAGGCCAGTCACACCGACGACGTAAACGGTGGTCCAGCCAGAGGGGCGGGCAGGGAGGAAGGAGCGAGGAGACAAGGAGGGGGCCCGCGCTGGGTCACAGCGCTCACCTGGGCCTCTCGGGATCCCCAGCCACCTGCGTGAGCACATCCTGGAGATAGAGGTGCCGCTGCACATCCCCGTCCTGCAGGAGACAAAGCTGTCCCAGTTCTGATCTCGCCCCATCGAGCCCCCGTCCAGGGCCCCGCCCTGAGCCATAACCCCGCCCCCCACAGGCCCGCCCACCGGCCTCCGGTCCCGACCAGCCAGGCCCCGCACCTAGCCTTATTTCCGCCCCGTCCAGCCCCGCCCCAGGCACCGCCCCCGGCACCGCCCCCGCCCCAACTGCC